CGATTAAACAGGGGACACAATTGTTCAAAATGGAGCTACAAGCATAGTAGGGCAATGCATAATTCAATTAGCTCGAATGCGTGGAATTCATAGCATTAATATCATAAGAGATAAATCTGAATCTGATAAAATTAAAGAAAAATTAATTAAACTTGGCGCTAATAAAGTATTTACTGAAAGTGAACTTGAAGTGAAAGGTGTCAAAAATCTCCTGGTATGAATTTAACTTTTATATACGAACAATATAATTATTTTTTAAATAACCAACGAGTGTATTTTTTTTTTTTAATATGTTGTAACGATCGATGATGTGCTGTAGGTGATATACCTAAACCTAGTTTGGGTTTGAATTGTATTGGTGGAAATGCAGCTAATATGGTGGTAAAATTCTTAAAGTGAGATACTTTTATTTTTTTAAATATTGTTTTCTTTAAAGTTGAAGTTTTTACTTTTTTTTTTGGTTAAATATTGAAGATATACAATATTATTTTTAAGGCAAGGTGGTACTATGGTTACATATGGAGGGATGTCAAAGAAGCCAATTACCATATCTACTCCATATTTTTATATTCAAGGTTAGTTTTCAAATGATCACTTATGAAATTTAAACACTAAGTAATTCTTTGTATCATCAATTGAACGGCTGTTGAGAGTATATCGAAAATAATATCTACGTACGCTTTATTTATTTCAAACTTGACCATTTGTAGATCACTAAATATGTTGTTATATATTGAATTATCTTTTTTTTTAAAGGATATTTCCTTGAAAGGATACCTGTTACAAGAAAAGAATTTAGATGAAGCACAATATAGGTGTTCGATTGATCATCTATTGGCCCTCGTTCGTGCTGGGATATTGAAATATGAGTACAATTTCTTACTCTCTTGATCAATTAATTTTGTAATTCTTTATGAATTTATATATAATTTTACTTAAAAAAAAGAAGTTATTTTGAATTTAAAATGAACAATGTAGCAATATTGATTATTTTTTTTAAATTTATTACAGGATGGATATGGTATCTTTTAAAGATTTTCATATAGCTCTTGAAAAGGCAATGGGAAAACAAGGAAGTCAAAGGAAACAAATTCTAAAATTTTAAAATAAATTAGCTTCGATTATTGTTAGACTATATTTTTCAACTTGAATTTTGTCATAAGTACTATAGTTTATTATCCATTTTAATAAGTTCTAGTATATTTTTCTAATATAATATTTAAAATTTGATTTCATATATAATATTAATTATTATTATTAATAGAGAAAAGAGTCATATACATCATTAAAGTTTGAGAAGAGGCTCATTTATGTTATATGTTAAAAATTTGCTTCATCTATACCATTTACTTTTGAAAAATGACTCATTTATGACATTATTTGTTAACTTAAACCAATTCCATTTTACAAAACTATTTTTTACACGTGGTCAATTATGAAAAACCATTTTTGATGTGGTCAATTATGATTTTCAGTCACGTCATTTATTAAATTATGTTTTTAAAGGGAAAAAGGCTCAAATATGCCCTTAAACTTTGAGAAAAGGTTCATATATGTCATATGTTAAATGTTTGGCTCATCTATGCTATTTCAATTGACAAATAATGACATGAATGAACTGTTTCTCAAACAAAAATAGCATAGATAAGCTAAACTCTTAACAAATGACATAGATAAACTTTTTCTCAAAATTTGATAGTATATTTGAGTTTTTTTAAATTAATAAGTGACATTCTCTCATCAATTATTATATTATTTTTGGTTTGAATTATATATAATTATTATATATTATATGAACAGGTTGTCTAACTCATTAGGTACTCTCTCAGTTTCAATTCGTATGTGCTACTTTTCATTTTTATTCCTTTGAAAAATGAAAAAGAAAAGACTCTTTCATTTATTAGTAACTGTACTCTTGATTTTAATTTTTCACGTAACATATTTAAGATCACATGATTCAAAAAAAAAATTATTTAAACTTTGTATCAAGTAAAAATATGACAAACAAATTGAACTGGAAAGAATATACTCCCTAGATCCGTTCACTTTTACTTGTCATTTTTCACATATCAAGAGTAAATAATTATTTTTCCATGTTTTACCTTTAGTGTTAATTACTTTTTCTCCAAATCATTTTTCAAGATTTAATACTAAATATCAATTAATAGGGATAATATGCTAATTAAAATATTGTGTCAATTTTATTTTTTTAATGAGTGTATCATATCCAAATTTGACAAATAAGGGTAGGTGACGAAAAAAGAGAAACAGGAAAGCGTATTACAAGGTTGGAGTATCATCAATCAATCACTAACAAAGTGAAAATTCGTATAATCAACTAACTAAGCTATACTAAGATTCTCCACTCTCTACTTAACTACAAGTTAGAATGCAAGTTTTGTTTACAGTTTCTTCTTGAGCTAGCCAAATTCAAGTTAAATTATCTTACTTTGATCAAGTTGCTAAGAAAACACGTCCCTTTTGTTCTATTTTATCCCAAAAACAACTTTTCCATTACTAATTCTATGGTACAACAACTTGAAGATTTTGATGAAAATAAATATTCAATTTGTCAAGATCAAGGTGTTACAATATATTGATAAAAGCCAAGGTCAATATTTTTCACATGTAAATTCTTGCTTTAATAACAACAAGAAAACAAAGAAAAAAATCACAAGTCTTGTCGATTTCACTAAAAAGATGTTTCAACACTTAGCTGTAAAAGAAATACACAATGATATATTGTATGTGACAGTGTCATGTAAAAGCTTAATTTAATTTGTTATATGGTCCTTCGGGATGACTCAGTTGATTTGGAGGATAGTCCATCACACGGATGATTCGGGATCGACTTCCCCTCAATGTTTTCTAAGTCGAGCATGTTGCATAGAACTTGTATAGTACGATTTACATCATGTGATTTGTAGGCTATTACCACAGAGTGACTATCTGAAGGACAGAGGGTCATGTAACAAAGGTTATAATAGCTGAGAGTTATACAAGTCCTAGAAAGAAAAGAAATTAATTACTATATTATTTATATTTATTTAATTATGTTTTCATCATGCTTTATCTAATACAAAACTAAAAAAAAAGTTTACTTGATTATTTAATCAACACTTTAATTTGGACAAAACTTTGTAAAAATAGTTAACACTACAACAAAAACATTTTTTAACGGCAATAAATAGACACATTAATAAAGAGTGCTAAAGTCTTTAACGGCATTAGTTAAGTGTCATTAGATCCAATGTCGCTAAAGGCTTACGGAACATATACAAAGAGTGTTCATTGCCGCTAAAAATACATAAAACTCTAATCTTTCAACTTCAAGAATGAAATTTCGCTGAAAAATAATATGATTGGCGTGTGGGTGAACAAACCTAACACTATGGAAGATTACATACCTCTTAGGGATTAAACCCATGGCGAAAATCCGCAACAACTCTTAAGAATTTCGACGAACGCTTCGATCCTTTCTCTTTTTCTTCCTCTTTACTCTTCTTCTTCTTTTCTCTTCTTGAAACTCTCAACTAAAACCCAGGCTAATTTTTTAGGATTATAAAACTGAACCTAATAGGATTAGACCCTTAAAATATTACTAAAAACGAATTAAATTTAATTGGGTAAGGAAGAGACCAAAATACCCCTCTAGAATCCGATTTTGACTTTCCTTATCTAGACAACCCAACTTCCAATGGACATATTTCCCTCATACGATATCGAAACTTAGCAAACTCGGCGGCGTTGGAAAGATAATTCAAAGGTCTTTCCTACGGTATCTGGTAGCACACCTAAGTCATCCTGAGATAGGAGTTATGGTCGTTTGAAGTCAACCCAAAACTCATACTTAAGCATAACTTGCAAAATTTCAGATCTTGCTATTTCCAATTTAATTCTTTTTCGAACTCAAGGTGCTACATCCAATTTAAAGCTCATGAAATCGATCTTCTCTACAGGAATCTCAAGTCTACACACTTTGGACCACTCGTTGATAACAGTAAAAATTGAGTAACCATCCATTGCAATGTGCACATGGCTCATGGATAGAGCCAAGCCACCACACTCGAATTCTGTAATTTGGATAATGACAACTGGCATGGCGAATAAGTTGGATGCATCTACATTCCATGTATCTTGAGGCCAACAAAGCAATGAAAGGTTGATATCCTTATGTGCTTTCTCAAGAAATTCATTGAGTTCACTATTCACTTTTGCTTTTATAAACTTAACCCCTTGGTCCTGGCAGGATATCGAGTTATCCTCGGTAAATCTGCCAGAAATAGGGTAAACATGAGTTAAAATCCTAGATAAGGATTGCTCAAGTTGTTCTTCATGAGCTGAAAAATTAATGTTGTTGGTAGGAGGATAAAAAAAACAAGAGGTATATGTGTCTCATCAGTTGTTTGATCAAAGAAACATAACTTGTAATTTTGGAGTTGGTGAAGATGGTTTTATGAATTTTGTGGTGAAATTGCAAAAGAGAGATTAAGCAAACAAGTGATATGAAGAACCTAAGATATATAGTGGCACGTCACTCTTCCCCTTTATATAGAAAAAAGATATGGGTTTTCTATTTATCGATTTTTGATATATAACCATCTAGTTTAACCAACAAAAAAATGCTCGTAACATAAATATATGACTTCTTCAATAATTTGGTGCGACAGGATAATAATGTTACTTTACATAATGTTCAGAATTAAAATAGAAACAATATTAACTACCATGAAAATGAAAAGAACTGTACAAGTGCAATACAAATAAAAGAACTAGGACAATATTGTGAATTGAAGGTTACAGGGCAAATTAAAGGTAGTAACCACTAAAATATATATACTGAAATAAATATTTACTATATTTATGTAGAGGTAATTGAGGAAATGACTACCTTCTTACCGGGTTATTGGTTTACTTAATAATCTAAAGCTAAAAAAATCAAAGTCGAATTGATAATTCAATATTTATTTTTTTATAAAATCATTAAAAACCTGTTAACCCAATAACTCAATAACAATAAACTAGACAAACTAGAAAGATGACCAAAAAAAAGCATAGAAAACTCTAAAAACTTAGCAAATGCGTTAACATCATGGTCCAAAAAAAAACATCGATAAGTAATATAACTCTTAGCAAATGCTTGAGAATGAGTTTCACTCTCTTTTGGTTACAGTAACGGCTGCAGTTGAATTCGCTCTTGATTTCTATTGGTAAAAGCCTTGATATCAACTTCACATTCAAATAAACTCATATTAACTATCTTTCAAGTCCACTTGAACACAAATACTTCCACATTCTGCATCATACATCCAACAACTATGAAAATTTCTCAATCCAAAATGCACCAAACTCGGTTTTTCTCGACCTAAATCAGCATCCTTCATAGGAAACTTACACAAACTTGAAATTATACACTTGCCAACTTCATCATTGTCAGTTTCCCATTGTCAAATTAGCATGTTATCCCTTTTAATTGATATTTAGTATTAAATCTCAAAAATACCTTAAATATACAATATAATTTTTTGCTGAGGGGGTTCGGGTGAACCCTCGGCAACCTCTAGGTCTGCGTCTGGATACAATCTATCCAAACACTGTATTCATTAAAATAATATAGTACGATAAAATATAACACAATACAATATAATACATTATGAAACAATACGTAACAACCATCCAAACAAGGTGTCAGTAGGTTGAGTAGTCCTAATAAATGAATTGAACTATAATAAATGCATCTTTTTTTCTTTGAGTTAATGTTTCGATACGTACATGTCCTTACACATCAGGGGCGAACCTACATGGTACTACATGGGTGTTCGAGCACCCATTAATCTCATATCGAATTATATATATTTACATAGAAAGAAAGAAGAATTGTATATATTTTATTAGAGAGCACCCATAGGAACAATGACTTAATTGCCGTGGTGGTTTATTGTGGGTGCTCAAGGTCTTTCATTCTTTTTATTTCTTGCCAGAGGTTTGATTCCCTCCAAAGACATTATTTTTAGTTTAAAAATAAGCTCTTCTCTTACTTATTTATTCTAATTGGACTTCATTTTTAATTTTTTTCTCCCATGCAGATTGTTGCTTTTTCTCTTTTGCTAGTGGCCTTTTCTAACTTTTTTTTATCATTTTTTCTTATCCAAGATAATTTTTATTGTAATTTTTCTTCTTTAATTTTTTAAATTATCGTGCTTAAATATGATTGTCCTTTTTCATAACAAGTGTTAAACTTGTGCACTTATATTTGTGATTGATAGCTAAGCAATAACGAAATATATTCGAGGGGTGTCGACCGACAATTCTTTGTCGGAAAATTATACGTGTAGTTAGGTAAAAACAATTATAACGTAATCATACTAATATCAAAAGAAATCCCAAATTGAAATGATTTCGAAAAAAATAATTTTTATAAATATAAAATGAAATAATAAATGATAAGATATCATTTTTAGAATATAATCGACCAAATCAAAACATTTAAATTTACCCATTTGTCTTAACTTTCTTTCTTAAAATAAATCTTTTGGTTAATACATGAAGTAATCCTACTATCTTCAAAAGAAAGAAAACTACTAATTACTATGACATTCCATATAAATAAAATGATAATAAGGAAATAAAATTATTTGCACGCCAAAAATATAAATGGAATACAACTTTAAATGATAAACTTACTTTTATTTTGTTTACTAGCTAATATACAGTCAAACATTTTTATAACGGTTTGCTAATAACAACATTTTATTAGTCAAAAGATATTCAAATACAAACAAGGTTTGATTATTTGTCCAATTCTCAATATTTAAAGGACCATAATTTTACAATATCATAAATACCAAAATGACCTTAATCTCGCCCTGTTTTTCTTCCCTCGGGATATCCAGGATTTGAGGGACGCAGATTTTGACAGTACTCCACTTATAAAAAATTGTTTTAGGGCACATATTTGAATAGATATTTTATTTGTTTTGAAATCTTCGTATATGTATTTCAAGCATAGTGAAAATCATCTACATTCTTTAATATTGCTTTAAAATTAATGTCCTTCATTCTTCAATAATTTGACATTTTTATCCCCTTATCTCAAACAAGTCAAAATTAGGGCTGTGCAAAAATCGAACCGGCCAATAAATCAAATTGAAAAATGTTATTGGCTTATTGATTTTTATTTTTTTAAAATCTACCCCTCTCCTTCGAGCTTCCACCTTTTTTCTCCCTTAGTGACTCAAAGTGAGGAGTGTTTATCATTCAAGCAACTGTCTTTTGTCTAGTTTATTGTTATTGAGTTATTGGATTAACGGGTTTTTAATGATTTTATAGATAAAAAAATGTTATCGGATTATCAGTTCGATTTTGATTTTATTTTATTTTAGTTTTGAATTATTGAGTAAACCGATAACCCGGTAAGAATGTAGTCATTTCCTCATTTACCTCTACATAAATATAGTAAATATTTATTCCAGTATATATATATATATTTTAATGGTTACTACCTTTAATTTGCCCTTTAGCCTTCGATTCACATTATTGTCCTAGTTCTTTTTTTGTATTGCACTTGTGTATGTAGTTCTTTTCATTTTCATGGTAGTTAATACTCTTTCTATTTTAATTATGAACATTATGTAAAGTTGCAGTATTATCCTGTCGAGCCAAATTATTTGAGAAGCCATATATTTATTTTATGAGCATTTTTATGTTGGTTAAACCAAATCGTTAAAAGATCAAAAATCGTTAAACCGAAAACCATATTTTTTTTCTATATAAAGGGGAAGAGATAAGTGCCACTATATATCTTAGCTTCTTCACTTGGTTGCTTAATCTCTCTTTTGCTATTTCACCACATCTATATACTCATGGCATTTCAAAAAGAAAACATGGAAGTTGAAATCATATCCACAAAATTCATAAAACCATCTTCACCAACTCCAAATCATCTCCAAAATTACAAGTTAGGTTTCTTTGATCAAACAACTGATGAGACACATTTACCTCTTGTTTTTTTTTATCCTCCTACCAACAACATTAATTTTTCAGCTCATGAAGAACAACTTGAGCAATCCTTATCTAGGATTTTAACTCATGTTTACCCTATNNNNTGTTGGCCTCAAGATTCATGGAATGTAGATGCATCCAACTTATTCGCCATGCCAGTTGTCATTATCCAAATTACAGAATTCGAGTGTGGTGGCTTGGCTCTATCCATGAGCCACGCGCACATTGCAATGGATGGTTACTCAACTTTTACTGTTATCAACGAGTGGTCCAAAGTGTGTAGACTTGAGATTCCTGTAGAGAAGATCGATTTCATGAGCTTTAATTTGGTTGATGTTTTCCCAACGAGAGATTTATCGAAGCTTCTCTTGCCTCGTGTTCCTCCATTAGATCGTGTGGAGTCTAAATTAGTAGCCAAAAGGCTATACATCAACGAAGATTCCATTTCAAGGCTAAGAAAAGAAGTCGGTGGAGACTTATGCACCTTTAAGCCGTCAAGAGTTGAAATGATCATGGCCCTCCTATGGAGGGCTTTAATTCGTGCTTCAGAAAAGAAGCACGGATATCTAAGGCGTTCTCTAATGAACATCCCAATAAACTTGCGCACTA